TACCGAATTTAACTTTAGACAAATAATCAGCAATACCGGTGGATCCATCCATATGAATCTAAAGAACGAGTACGATCTTATGTTTCAGTTGTTGTAATGGACTATTACTTTTTACCTCCTCGTCGTGCGTTAGGGCAATATAGAATGACCTTCGAGGCTGTCCATTCTTCTCGATGTATTCCTGGAAAAAAGAGCAAAATTCTTGTTGAGAAAAGCTTAACCTTCTAAAATCAAGAAAGAAACTTCAGGATATATTGCCAGACTACAACTGCGAATTACATGCAGATCCAGTTTCGGTAGTAGCTACCATTTCATCACAAGGGCCGTGTAAAGCGGTTTCAGTTGTATATATATACGTTTATCCATCTTTGTTGTTGTTCTGTTGTTTTCATGGATTCTTCTAGGCGTTTATCATCACTTCGAATATTTCAATGAACTTTTGTAGATTATTAGTATCCTAGCGTATCGCCACAATAGCCATAGTGAGTCAAAAAGCTCCTTATCCTTCAGAGTCGAACAGAGCCGTGTATGATCTCACAAATATTATCCCAGATCGAATCGAATCAGGTTTCCTGATTCGGTTCGTTTTGGGCTCTGATATCCTTCGATTTATCGTTTGCAAAGTGCACAAAAGATTCCGTTCATTGCCAAGCTTTGCACCAACAACTCCAGCCTCTATTAAAGAGTTGTTACGCAAATGCTCATTTATAACTTTCAATACCTGTAAGGCTTCCATCACAGCAAATACTGTCGTTTTATCATCGAGAGTGCCCCGAGCGTAAATATATTCACCATCGACAACCGCACCGAACGGTTCATGTTTCCAAGACCCATTAGTCGCTGGTACAACATCGTAATGAGCTGATAACAGATATGGTTTTAGGTCTGGTTCGGATCCTTTTATCGTATACAAGATCGAGTATGTTGCAATGTCGTGCACTTCAATCCATTTATTTTGTAAAATATTTGAATAACGTTGTTTGATAAATGTACGGCATTGTTTTATCGCTTCATAATTTTGATTTCGAATATCTATCGACACTGTTTCATATTTTAATAATGTTTGAAATACATTTAAGCGTTCATTTGTCAGCTTTAAAGAATGATCATCCGCTGATGAACATTTTTCAAACAAATCCTTTTCAGGTGTAAACACAATATACGTTCGATAAAGTAAAACTAAAATAAAACATAGGCTAACACCGCACAAAATATGAGTAGTTTTCATCTTCAATATAAAAGTATTTGATATACCCAAGTGAATACATCGTTGTTTAAAATTCTATCATGAAATGAATCAGTGTTTTTTTAAACATAAAAGACGTGCTGATGAACAGTGGTCGATACAGAGAATACATGCATTTTATTGTGCTTTTTCTTTTACAAAACGCGTTTCTGGCCATTGAGACAAACATTCATATACACATACACATGTGCGTTGGTACACAGCATAATCTATATATGTATATACATACTGTGTAGTATTATGACATGTTGGATTTTTCTTCCTTTTCTTAGTATGTGATGAGATAGTGGTAGCTTCACTTTTTTTCTATTTCTCTTGAATACTTATTATGATGATAAAGAACTCGAGTACGCGTAAAGGAGAAGATTCATACAATTAGTTTCGATAACAGGTAATACTCTCTTCAAAAGAAAGGTATTTAGAAAAAATATCTGTGGAAGGTGTAACTAACCTTTAGACGGTATAACTATTGGAACCATCTTGGCTATATATACGATCTTGGTGCCGGTGCAATAAAACGTTTGTTGTTTTGAAAAATGAACCCGTACGATTATTTTTAAGAAAACTTTTCACGCTTAGACTGCCAGATCTGCTCTTATAAGATTTTTTACATAGCTAACTCGACATGCCCAGACACCCTGATGTGGTCAAAAATGAAGTTTATTGACAAGTAAAGTTCACCTTCGATTCATTGATCCTTGACCGAAAGATCCTGGTGCGGACGAACCCAAGAGGTAGGGTGCGTGAAATTTACAACTTCCGCGTTGTCATTTTCGGGGGTATGGTTGGATAGAGCTCATCGAGCTATCTATTAAAAGCTGAATTTTATATGTTTAGAAGTCATTTTCGTGTGAAAATTATTGATTTTTTGAAAATAGTCTAAAATGCGCAAAGTTGTCGTATCCTTACTTTTGAAAGTGCAAGCGACTTTTCTCTATCTTCCCCGAGATGTGTGGACAAAGTGTCTAAAGACGAATTGACGAATCGCAATTTTTAAGCGTGAAAATGATGCAATAATTCGCGTTTTATCCTTATTTTGCGGATTCGTACCTGATGCGAACTATATCGAATTCGTACGGATACTCCTAAAAAACTTTTACGAATTCTTCTTGCGAATTCGTAAACAGAGAATAGATCAAACACGGTGCTGATCAATTCGCAAGTAATTCGTAAAATTAGTTTACGAATTCGTGTTCACTGTTTTTCGAACTCGATTGATTCGTAAATACGAATTAGCGAATTCGTATTACGAACTGATCCAGCGGTTGAAAATGGATCCACGAATTGATAAACCCATTCTGCAAATTCATTGCAAATCGACGTGTACGCTTATTAGGCTACGTAGGGACAAGACACTTTTCTTTGAGGTTAAAAATAGATAGATTCGTCTCTTCTCATCGATTCGCATACTTCTCATACCAATTCGCCGTTATTCTTACGAATTCGTAAAATATGGCATGTTGTGTAGATACTCACAGCCATCCTCACTGCCCTGCGCTCGGCAGATGCACACAAAAGGGAGAGAGATTCCCCTCTGTTTTGTTTCGCACAGATACATGTATTAATATAGTCTATTGTTGATTAATTCATTCAACTGATCAATTCGTATTCTACGAATTCGTAAAAATAACGGCGAAGCTAGGTGAGAAGTATGCGAATCGATGAGAAGAGACGAATCTATCTATTTTTAACCTCAAAGAAAAGTGTCCTGTCCCTGACATCAGTTCGTATTTCACGAATTCTATTTATGAATTCGTCGGTTATGTTTTGGCATCTATGAATTCGTAAATAGAATTCGTAAATTCGCATTTTATCGTATTTTTGCCAATTTACGAATTCGTACACGAATTCTTGGGGACCAAAATGATCATTTCACGAATTCGTCGATGGTCGACCAATTCGATTTACGAATTCGTAGGTACTGGAAGTTTCTTTCTTACGAATTCGTCCTAATTTACGAATTGGCAAAAGGAAGAAAAGAGGCAATTTTTTGGTTCGTTTTTGATCACTTTTGTTAGTTCGCATCAGTTAGCATTGAATTACGAATTCGCAAAACAATGGTAAAATGCGAATTGTTGCATCATTTTTACGCTCAAAAATTGCGATTCGTCAATTCGCTTTAGACACTTTGTCCACACTAATGGCTTCCGCTCAGGAAGTATGAAAGGCTAACTCTGGCATCTTTAGAAACACATATGCTTTAAAATTTGTAGAAAATGAGCCAGCCCCAGAAAAGGTACACGTAGAGCAGAAGAGTTAAAACTAATCATTCTGATCAACGTCACTATAAAACTCATCGGCGCCAGTTTTTCCGTTTCTTCCTTCCGCATCGCAGAAAGACTTAGTCAGATACAATCAATTTTTAAAACAAATAATAAAGAAGCCTGTATCTCGGAAAAGCAGAATAAAGCACATTGAAAAGAAAACTACTATCAAAAACACCCAACCAGAACCCCAATGACGCAACCTCACCAAAACTCATATGCACAAGAAATGCGCCAAATCTACAACGGATCAATAGTACATGTTTCCCATACTCCTAGAAAAAACAACGGGACCAACTGTAGTTGGTCCTGCTGCGACCCTCACCAAAAAAACCATATGTCGTTACCAAAAACAAAACTAGGAAAATGACACGTACGCCTCACGGCAGATGTCGCAAGCATGCAGCCATCTTAACGCAAACCATACTAAATCAGCAGCCACACCGATCATCTGCAAACACAGTGCAACCGTGTCTCCTTGGTGAGAAAAGTAATTACGTGTTTTTGCTCCTCGAACTTGAGTATGTCGCTAATTTACGTTTAAAGCAGGTGTCACAACTCTAATGCTACTAGAACGTCAATTTCTTATCATGGCATGACTTTCTAATCAACACCTCACGCTCGGAAGATGGAGGTTTGTTCTTTTAGTAACTAATGTTATCTTTCTTGTACATCTGTTGTGGGTCAAATTAGAATTCAGTCAATTTCCGAATTTGTCCCGACCGAGTGGAATTCTAATCTCCCTCAGACAAAATTAAAATTCTACTTTAAACCAGAGTTTCTATGGACAAAATTGTAATTCCAATTCTGTCCCGACGAAATCAAAACTATAATTTTGATAGGGTTGAAAAAAACCGAAAATCCGGACAAAATTAGCATTTATCCGTAAAACAGAGATATCGTGCTCCGAGCCAAAATCATGTTTTTAACTATAACTTTCAAAGATGTGACCATTTACAGAAAACCTTTCGACGGTATATGCAATGTCGGCGAGAGGTCAACTGTGAAAACACCTGCGAGAACGGCGGTTAAACGAACAACACCAAGAATTAATTGTTTTAGTAAATTCTTCTAAATACCACAATTTACAAAGTGAATATTTGTCACTCACTGATTTCAAAGAGTTAGATAATGCCTAGTTACTCGCACCAGCGCTTTGTGAAGCACTTCCCTAGTCTATAATCCTCAAAGAAGTCCCAGGTGACTCCCACCTGGAACTCCCTGAGGAGTCCTGTTACCGAGTCCCTAGGGAGTTTCCAGGGGAGTCTCCTAGGACTTTTTGCATGCAATGAAAGGTTACGTGTTCGAATCTCAGTAGTATCCTCGCTTTTCAAAATAGTACTCTTTAGTAAAATATATTTTACACAAACAAAATAATTTATATGCAAACAACAACAAAAGTTCTCAATGAAAAAATGAACAATCGTATCTATTAGGAGAATAAAGAATGAAATAATAATTTAGAATGGCCGAAAAATGGGCATAATTCATCATTGAATGTCGTTGTCTGTATCTTTTGCATCAACCGCACGTTCTGCATCTTCATTTGCTGTGTATTTCATCACTTTTTGCTGTTTCACGTCTTTCTGAAGTTGTTTCCTCGCTTCGTCTAATGTTTTTTTTAAAGCCAATAATGCTATGTCATCTAATTGAAAAGCTTGCTGTAATCCCTCTAGAACACAGATAGCGTCTCATAACATATAACTTGAATTAAAACAAGAAAATATACCATTGATTACTCAATAACGTGCATCATCTTCTTGTAAATATTTTAGGTCCATTATTTCTTGTCGGGTAAAAATCTTCATTATCATCTTTCGCATAAACGATCGAATTGAAGTTAAATCAGATTTTCATTAGCGCTAAATCGACTTTTTATACGGGGAACAGAATCGGTCCAAATTCTTTCTCTGAAGAGCTTATTATGTAAATCCATGGGCAGCAAAGTATCTGTTGATTCAAATCACTTTTCGCATTTTGGCGCGAATAGTGGCACCACTTAAAACGCGCTACTATTCGCGCCAGTATACAGATGATTACGATTAATGAAGTCTTTCATATTAGATCTTAAACGATCAAATAATACTGCTGCTGTTGCTTCATTCTCGGATAAAAAAAGATGCAGAAGTAATATATTTCTGGAATATTCACGTAACGGTGGAGGTAATTCGACGAAAGTAGCGGATACAACATAGAATTTTTTTAGTTTTGTAGTAATGATATTCATACCATCACCATGGAGCATCAATGTCACCGGATTATGTTTCACATTAATATGTAATTGTTTACACACTACACCGCTAATCATATCGTTCGGCAATAAAACATACACACACCATCATTTCAACGAAACCTGGTGACAAAAAATATCGAAACAGAAACCTCAAACGCTAAATGCAACTCTATTGTTATAATTTAGATCCACAATCACAAAAACTTAACGGCTACATTCGCGCAAAAACATTGATGGTCGTCCTTCACTCCTCTGGCAGGTAAGTATGCTTGCTTCATCGACGACTCCACCTTCTTATACGCCACACAGCTACACAAATTGTGTGGTAAGCATGATGACTCATCGTCTTCTCG